GGATGAGGGAAGGGTCCAGAATTTGGCGGGAAGGAACCCAGGACCGCTCCTCAGGGCCATAACCCTCCCAGTCAACCAGGTATTGGAGTCCATGGCCACAACGCCCAGAACGAAGCAGACGCCGGACGGTGTAGACCGGACCCCCGTTGATGTGGCGAGGAGGAGGTGGAGGCACAGGAGGAGGAGCCAGGGGGCTGGACCGAACAGGCTTGATACGAGATACATGGAAGGAGGGATGCACCCGAAGGGATCGAGGCAGGCGAAGGCGGACAGCGGCAGGGTTGATGACCTTGGATATGGGGAACGGACCCACGAACCTCGGGGTCAACTTGCGACACTCAGTCCGCAGAGGGAGGTCACGGGCCGATAGCCAGACCTTCTGGCCGGGGTGGTAGGTGGGGGCTCGGGAACGATGAACGTCGGCCCATTTCTTGTAGGCTTGGACCGAGCGGAGCAGGACTAGGCGGGCTCTCCTCCAAGCCCGGTGACATCTGCGGACCAGGGCTGAGGCAGAAGGCACATTAACCTCCGGATCTAAACTGGGAAACAGGGGTGGAGAGTAACCATAAACGCACTCGAATGGTGACATACCTGTGGCTGCTGAAGGAAGGGAGTTGTGTGAATATTCCACCCAGGTCACATTCTCTGCCCATAGGGAAGGGTCTCGGTGACACAAGAGACGCAGGCCAGTTTCCAGCTGTTGGTTGAGTCGTTCAGTCTGCCCGTTTGTCTGTGGGTGGAAGCCTGATGAGAGACTGACAGAGATGCCCAGGAGCCGACAGAACTCTGTCCAGAACCGTGCCACAAACTGGGGACCCCTATCGGACACCACATCGGTTTTCCCTATGTAATAATATTGATAACAGTAAGGTCTAGACCTTACTTTGTAAAGTGTCCTGAGATGACTTTTGTTGTGATTTGGCGCTATACAAATAAAATTTGATTTGATTTGATTTGATTTGATTTTTCCATATGTCCTGCACATATAGTGAATTGACCATAAAATTCTTTGATCTTGACCTTGTAGTCCATAATGCCTGTGACCAATTAGTACATTGTCATCCAGAGTGGATGTTCTGGTACCGCATACATAGGTATTTTTCTGTCCAGGTGAGGCTGGAGTCTCCTCCCTGGCAATCAACAACCGAACAGAAATCACTCTAAAATGACTCCAAAACAATTTTAGCAAATGTCTGTCCAAATCCCAAATATACCCACTACCATAAAAGCACTTAAAAATAAAAGATTACAGTCAATAGTTGCCATTTAACTTTCTTTAGGGAAAAACAATGAACACCACTACTCACAATATTCCTGGTGATTCTTTAAGTACTAAAAGTACTAATACCACACAGTAAAAATATTATCTTAGAAATAAAATTCCACTATTTAAATATCACTTAAGAGTATAATCAGGAAAATGTACTTAAAATGCCCTGCAGAGAACTGTCCTGTGTGTTTTACATTCTTTACTGTGTTACAGGAATTACTGTGTTAGTGGGATTTTTTTCTGAAACTAATGGTTATGCTCATTACGCAGTGATTTCATTTTCTTTCCCCAATTTTGTTTGGTGTGTAAGATGTTTGAAAACAACGAAAGTGCCAATCACAGTTATCCAGAGTGACACCTTCACAATACATATTTTGTAAAATCACCACATTTGGGAAACTGGAACCATGAAATGTTGGACATTTTGCATATGGAAAATGACACCCCCCCAGTGAGCCCCTCCTCATGCGTAATGTTAATTGTATTCTTAGCAGTGACTTTCTATTCTTAACCTAGCTCTGTTATTTATTTGTGACATATACTCCTACTCGTCTCCGCACTCCCTCCTTTGTTTGGTTCTGTCTAAGAGGCTGTAGACTCAGGAGCGGGGGGACTATTAACAAGGGCCAACCACACAAGCAGCCCCAAGGTGGCTTTATCCTCGCATTAGGGAGGTCTTTTGAATTGATGCCACCCATCACTGATCATCCTCCTGTCTCTCCAATGCTTGCCTCTGCGCTAAGCACTCCCTGGGTGTGTTGTTTTTTTCACTGGGGTTGTGACAGCTGCCCCCTGCTGGTGCGCAGCTCCCTTTGTAGCCAGACTTCACCCTGGAGTGAATGGAGTGGCTTCACAGTATAAGGGAAATACAGCAGGTGGATGAGCACTACTAATTATGTGCTGTATGTATTAAATAGAATCACTCTTGATTTTTTAATTTTTTTTACTTTAAAAGCAATTAAGCTTACACGTGCGTGTCCGCAAGGTGTGGGATAGGAGCTTTCTTACAATGAGTGAGATGTATCCAGGAGGTTCTTTCTGCAATCTCTATAGCTGGTGGTGTTGTCAGGAGCACTTGGACCTGAGTTCAGCCACGTCTTCCTCCTTATGGCTTTGAGAAAGATCCAGTCTCTTGGCTGTAATGAGCGATAATTTACCTGATGTTTTTCTAACAAAACTGTTGATTTGGGGCATATAAGGGTTTAATTATTCGTGCAGCAAGGGAGCATTCAATACACATGTAGTAATCTGATTATTCACAGAATCAGAGCGTTGTTTTCTTTTGTTTGCCAGAGCGTGTTTTGTCTTTGGGGTGATGCCTTGGG